ACTATGCAAGGTAACTGTGGCTACCTCGAGCATTGTCATGGCCATGTTCTGCGTCGCATTGTAATTTTGTGATGGGATGCTGAGTGCGCGGACACTGTAGTGCTACTGCTAGCCGGGGATGGTTCCTGAATCCGGCGCGGGGAATCTGGTGAAGCATACCGGGAACTGTTTCGCGAGTACGGGGGAATTACGCGTGGAACTGTTTAGGGAGTACGGTGGAATTACGCGTGGAACTGTTTAGGGAGTACGGGGGAATTACGCGTGGAACTGTTTAGGGAGTACGGGGGAATTACGCGTGGAACGGTTTCGGAAGTACGGCGGAATTACGCGTGGAACTGTTTCGGGAGTACGGCGGAATTACGCGTGGAACTGTTTCGGGAGTACGGCGGAATTACGCGTGGAACTGTTCCAGAGTATGGGGGCATTACCCCGCGATCGGTTCTGGGGTCTAGGCGGTTACCATGGCAACGCACTCTCTGTGTGCGTAATAGGGCTTGGTGTAAACCATACGATAATGATGAAATCCATCCAGCATCACCATCAACAACTCAGTAATCGTACGCTGCTCATGCAATCGTAATAACATGCATGTATAACAGGGGTAGAAATTAACTTTTGAACAAGGCAGTCCAACGGACTCATACTATACCCTCGGACTATACCCTCAAAAAGAGTCCGCAGCAAAATGAGGGAGTCCGCAGTCTGTGTTTCAAAATTAAAGATATTAACAATAACGCATGTGCTTATTTTTAAGATTTATGCGGTGGCACGTCTGCCAAATTTTCTTTGGACATTAGCTGAAAAAATACGGTAACTCCGCGAAGCTAGTTAGTATGGCAGAATTTTTAGGGAGTCACACGGACTCCTGCATATGTCAAATCAGGGAGTCCGACAGTAAATCAGGGAGTATTTGACTCCGGACTCCCGGTAATTTCGCACCCTGTAACATGGATAACGCATAATATATAACATGATCCCGTGTGTTATTTGAATCCGTCCATCTACGCTCGTGCGTATACGTATATATGCTTACATCTGCTCATCAATAACCAATTTTCTCTTATTTCCCCGCTGTACCGCCGTACCTTCGCGATCAATCCGCAGCCTCCGCGTGCCTCATCTCGAACGAACCCTCGAACGAATCTCTAATTTCGAAACGAATCCTCGCGAGCGATCGCGTCTCGTCATCGCGGGCCGAGCGAAGCCGGAACCTCATCGTGTCCGCATCTCTCTCTCTCCGCAGGATGCTGCTGCTACCGTGGCGGCGGAGGACGTCGCAGGAGGAGGAGGAGGAGGAGGAGGAGGAGCGGAGGTCACCACGGCCGGCGACGTGTCCCAGGAGACGGCCACGCGGAATCTCGGTGACAAGCTGAAGGAAGGCATGATGAACCAGATTGACGCGCTGGGAGAGAAGCTTGGATGTAAGCCGCCCCCTGCCCTCCCTCGCTCCGACCCCGCCTACCGCCCTCCCCGCTCGCGCCCCTGCCCCGTGCGCGTCTATGGTTGATGGTCCATGTGTGAAGGAAGGCATGATGAACCAGATTGACGCGCTGGGAGAGAAGCTTCGGATGTAAGCCGCCCCCACTGCCCTTCCCCGCTCGCGCCTCCGCCGCTCTGCCCACGACTCGCTGTGGTTGCTTACACTCAGTTGTCCTATATTCCTGATATATATTGTTATAAGATATTTCTAATTTATAAAAAATATTCCTAATATTCCTATAATTACATTCCTAATCTGGCATTTAGGACAGTTTTAGGGGTTCATGCACTGCTGGTTTGGCACGTATCTCCTCGCCCCAGGGATCGAATGACGGGGCTTGCGTGTGCGCAGTTTGTATTGCGGGCACACGGATGAATAACACACACACACACATATATATATATATATATATATGAATAACACCTGCTGGAACCTTCAAGTCTTTATAGTACGTGTAAATGTCAGACTGAGATTGCTTGAAACCACCTAAATGCCAGATTGTTTCCGGTTAAGTAGGTTGCAAAGAGGCTGCACTGCGACCGTCTGAAGTTTCGCTTTTATAGTCGCGGTGTCTGTTGTAGGAAACATTTTTGTTTTGAATTTTTCGTTTGTCACTAATTTCATAGCTCACTGGCTTCGAGTCATAAAATTGTCGAACTAAAATGGAGTAGGTTGGTTGATCCATGTCCCTTAAGAATGGTGTGGGCCTTCCCTTCATATCAGAAACAATTTAGTTGAGATGTTAGTCATGGTCATGACTTTTTCCTATCGTAATAGCATTAATTAGCACAGTGCTATGATAATTGTGACATCTTATGCCCCCCCCTGCACCCACTTTTGCAAAAAAAAGGGTTTTCAAATCGACGACAAAACAATTCGGTCACAGGTTCGTTAGCACGGCGCGTGTCTACCATTCACGCACAGTCGAAGGCATGCAGTCTTCCTCTTCATCGCTACTTGCTCACTTGTGCTCGCGCCATAACGATTATTAGAGCCCGCGCCTCTACATTCACTCGTTATTAGTCATTATTGACTCACACACACACACACATACACACACACGCACGCACGCACGCACGCACACATACACACACACACATAATGCGGGTCTGACCGCCAGTTGCCACCGCGGATGTAACGCCAGCGTCGCTGTAACAGCACATAGCGTTCGTCTACTGCTGAAATAGACGTCATTACTTCCCACCCCTTGACCTTTGTTGAACGATTCGCGCGCCCGTGTTGTCGTGTTGCTTTCGAGTATGCGTGTGTGCGCTTGCAGAAATCCTATTAGTTTTCGACGTCGGACAACCCCGCAAATCAATTTCTGCGCGAGGGTGAGCACACACACACACACAAGCGAGAATCATACCAGCATGCAATAATCATTACTCGCTCCCGAATGAGATTATGATCCATTCGCTAGTAGGTGTCCACCGATTTTATTAGCTCATCTGACATAGTCAGATGCAGCTTGTAGAATCGCGTGATCGTCCGTCCGTCCGTGCGAGCGTCCGTCCGTGCGAGCGTCCGTCCGTCAACAGTTGGGCACAAATCTTAATCGCTCGACGTACGGTCACGATATTCGGGACGTGGGGGGGGGGGGGTAATCCGAAAACGAGTTTAGATGTCGAAGCTGGGGGTTAAAGGTGAAAGGTCAAGAGGTGTAAAAG